TGGTGTGTGGTGTGGTTGTGTGCCATAAATGTGTGTTTGTGGCCCATGATATTTCAATCATTTGTCTTCACGCCATTGTGAGGAGCAGCATGTTGCCATGGTCGGGAGTTTCGTGGTTCTTGACTTTGTTGGTGGGTTGTGTCCTGATGCGTGCTGTGATTGTGGTTGTGTGTTGTGGTGGGGTGTTGTGGTGGGGTGTTGTGGTTGTGTGCCATAAATGTGTGTTTGTGGGCCCATGACATTTCAATCATTTGTCTTCATGCCATTGTGAGGAGCAGCATGTTGCCCTGGTCGTGAGTTTGGTGGTTCTCGACTTTGTTTGTGGGTCCTGGGGTTGTGTGTTGATGTGTGCTGTGATTGTGGTTGTGCGTTGTGCGTTGTGGTTGTGTGTTGGCAGCTGTGTGTTTGTGATTGGGTGTTTGGGTTGGAGGTTGTATTTGCGTTTGTGACATTTTGTGACTGCGTGTTTGTGATTTGGTTTGCTGTTGTGCGTTACGTTGTTTGTGGTTGTTAAAATCTAACGACCCTCACCTGACAGGCTGTAATACGCTTAATCAATAGTAGTAAAAGTAACCAACAACAACACCAACAACAAACACATCAGCAACAACAAAGAAACAAAACAAAGCACCGCAACCAGTCAAAACAAACAAACAGCTAGCCAAGACCAAAAAAAAACAAACAAACCAAACCAATCCAAACCAAACAAAAAACAATATTCAAAACTAAACAACCAAATCCAAACGAAACAAAGCAAACAACAAACAAAAAAGAAGAAAAGTCGCAACAAAACAATCAAACCAAACTAAGCCAATCCGAACACAACCAAACAAACCAACACCCAAACAAAGAAGAAACCCATGAAAGAAACAAGCAAACACAGCAAAAACAAACCAATCCAAACGAAACAAACCAACCTAACAAACAAAAAACAAAACAAACCAAACAAACCAACCAAACCAAACGAACAAACTCACAAACGAAGAGACAACCAACCAACAAAACAAAAAACAACATCAACAAAACAAACCAAACCAATCCAACGGAAACAAAACAAACTAACAAACAAAAAACAATCAAACCAAACCAAACCAAAACAAACCACAAGAACAAACATAAACAACTAAACTACCAACCAACCAATAAATAAACAAAGCAACAAAACAAACCAACACAAACGAAACAAAACAACCTAACACACAAAAAACAAAACAAGCCAAACAAACCAACCAAAGCAAACCAAACGAACAAACACAAACAAAGAAACAACCAACCAACCAACCAACCAAACAAACAAAAACACCAAAAACAATACAATAAGTTAAGCTTAAGGATTTCACAGTCCTGGAGACAAAGAAACTTTCCTCTGCGCAGGCAAAAAACAATTCTCTTTGCGACTCTGCTCCAAAAACACGATCAGGCACTCTGCTCCAAAAACATCTTTCTTGCAAACAGCTCTGCTTCTCGATTCTGTCGAAAAAAGAGGATGGAGCGGACCGTATATGTAGAGGTGACCAGGAGGACATATGTATATAGAAGACTATGCGAAAGAATCTTGGAAGGTATCAATATGAGGACTTTATTCATATACCTGTATAATATATCACCAGGGAAGAAGGAAAAACGTCTGCATTTCGATTCATGCAGCGGTCCACGACCCAGCGCAACTGCATTTTGTTTATGCCGCCACGTCGAACGCGTCTTCAAATTTCATCGGTACCCAGTTGCTGAAACCGACAAAACCCAGTTGCTGAAACCGACAGAACCCAGTTGCTGCAACCGACAAAGCCCAGTTGTTGAAACCGACAAAGACCAGCTGATGTCCTGTGTAAGCAACTGCCCCTACCCCCCCCCCCCCCCCCCCCCCCCCTTCAATCCGACATAAGCAAGTTACCGACCAGACCCAGTTGCTGAAACCGACAAAACCCAGTTGCTGAAACCGACAAAACCCAGTTGCTGAAACCGACCAAGCAGTTGCTGAAACCGACCAAGCCAGTTGCTGAAACCGACAAAGCCAGGTGCTGAAACCGACAAAACCAGTTGCTGAACCGCAGTTGCTGAACCGCAGCAGTTGCTGAAACCGACAAAATAGTTTCTGAAACCTAGTTGCTGAACGCCCAGTAGTTGCTGAACACTACTTTGTTCTCCTCCTGAGTGAAGGAGGTCTTTATGTATATATAGAGTATAATAGGATCTTTCGCGAATCTTTCGCCAATAGAAAATTACTTCCGCGAACTCCAAAAAACTTTCGCGAACAACTTGAAGAGGCTCTCAGTGATATAGGACTTATGTCGACCTTTTGATCGACTACCAAATATTATATATATATATATTAATTACATCAAATCACACAGCTCCCCGCGACCTCCCGAAAACTCTTCACGCGGAAGCGACCCAAGTCGCTGACGACAAAGTGCAGCGCCTCGAATTCCGGGGAAGGGATGGTCGGGATGGTGGCAGCAGGGTCGGGCCCCCCAAAATCCTTTGACCCCACAGGCCTGACACCTTTGCAGGATCATACCACCTCCAATAAAAAATCCTTGGATATCCTTGGGATGGTGGTCACGCTATCCGCAGCTTTCGGGGTCCCGGCATTGGTGATGGCCTTGGGTTGGTGGACTGCTTGTGCAAGTCCTTTTAGTGGAAAGGTCTCAGCTTTGCGTCGAGAAGAGTCCCGAGCAAAAATGGCTCATGTGGATAAGAATCCCAAAAGTGGATCACCAATGTCCACCACACCAAGAACCAAGACTCATACTTGGAGCAACATACTTGACAGATTTGGTGTGAGACCCTCCCAAACCCATGTGGATCCATGTGGTCCGGATCATGGGCCATCCCATTGACAGGGGTCCATCCACTCCTCCTCACACTCACCCAGATCGCTCGCCTCTTCGACTCGATAGGTGTCTCACCGGCGCATGCCGGGGCCCAGAGCACTGTTTGGAGCCGATGGCGGCGGAGTGGCAAGGGCATGTCGGGGAGAAACCGACAATGGCAAAATGCATAAAACTTAATGCTAAATGTATATACATTGTGGACCCCCCCCCTTAATATACAATGCTAAGGGGGTGGCTCGCTATATATATATATAGTAGCGATGCACTTGTTACTAGTAGCTTCTTAAATTGCTACTACTAGCAATGCCAGGAGCTACTAGTAGCTTCTTTTCTCTCGAAACCAACAGGACTCGAGCTTGAACGGCTTGCCGTCCGGCTCCGACGGCTGGGACCGTCCCACCCGGGTGATTCCGACCGAGAGTCCACTCGCCGATGAGACTGATCCGCTGGAGCGTTCCGTTTGGACCACCCGGTGCGTGCTAGGCCCGGTCTGGGCCACTTACTTCAGCATTCGACAGGCTGGAGACTGGAGTCCGATCCACCCGACCTACCTGGTTGGCCCATATCTGACCCAGTGGCTGTTTCAAGAGTGACTCGGTGCGCAAGGTGCTTTTCAAACTGATAGTTCGCATCCGCCCCACCAGCTTTAAAGCATCCATCAAACCAACTTCAACCTGCGTGTCGTGTGTTCGGTGTCGCGGCGGGTCAGTTCGGTTCGGCGGGGCAGCTCGCGATGTCGTGTCGCCCACAGCTTCGTCTGGTCGCTGTGGGTCCTTCTTTCTCGTTCAGCGGCTGCTTCGTTCGGAAGCAGCCGAAGACGGAGAGAGAGTGTGACTGGTGCAACGGGGAGGGGTGCAACGTGCCTCGTGCGACTTGCTCATCTTAAAGTCGCGCACATGGTTGATGATGTATTCCTCAGCGGTGCTCTGGCGCTGTGCTCTGGATGTTTGTTCTAAATGCCAAAGAAAAGCAGTGAAGAGATCCACTGGCAGAACCTGTGGCATTGGCCTATCTCGGACCATTGATTGATCCAAGCCACTGCATTCTCCTGGAAAGCAAGTGGACTCAAGTGGTATGTAAACTTGCCATGCTTCTCACTATGCTTGGAGTATGAAAGATATGAAAGCAACTACATCTTCTGCATGACGCTCTAGTCGTTTGAGCCTTGAATATGAAAGCAACTCCCTCAAAGTTTCGTGTTTTGTGCCTTACACACTAGACTAGACTGGAGCCACAGCCGTCACCACAGCCCGAGGGCCGGAACCCTTTCTTCTGCCATCAGTTGATCGACACATGCCGGTATGGACATGTACGATATATGTTGAAAAAACGGAAACTCGAACTCGACCACCATGGCACGCAACAAAAACACGTGTATATATATATATATGTGTGTGTTTTCAATATGGAGATTTCACACAAAACACATGAATTCGAAATAGAATGAAATAGACGTGAACACACGACCAGTCCACATGACCAGTCACAGTCCTTGGTCATCTTGTTATTTCTGAAGGCTTCCAGCAAACTTCGAATCGTCACAATTTCTCCCGGGTGCGCCGGGGCATCTTCCTCGGCCGATCGCGAGACGGTCATATAGTGTGGGCTCGCTGGCGAGACGCCATGGCGTCGGTGTCGGTCCACCAAGCGTCGTCTTCCAAAGCACAAATCATGTAGTAGTCGTTCACAAAGTCCTTCTTTCGACGCCTGGGAAAGCCCAACATGGAAACGTGACGCGGTCACGTCGGGTGTCCAAATGGAGTTCAGGGATCGTTAACCATGTCCCACAAACGCTTCGCAGGTCTTTTGTGCTCCACGTGAAGCTGATCGTTTGTGCTCCAAACATCTCGCGCCGGTCGACCGTGATGTTGATGTCGACATGGGGGTTCGGCACTGCCGCCTTCCCCCCCACCTGCCGTTGTGTCCCAGAGCCGTCGTCCTCGCCCCCTTCGCCCCCTTCGCCATCGCCATGGCACATCTCTGTGATGGACTTCCGAATCTGCGCCAGCAGGGTGTCCGTCTTTCCGGCTTCAGCTCGTGTTCTCCCGTAGGCTTCCTGGATTCAGTGAGAGCTCACTGACCGGATTCGGAGGATCAATTGGAATCAACGGAGAGCTGAGCAGAATTTGGTACATGTGTGTCGACAGCTCAATTCTTGCTCATTCTTGTTCCATCTGGGAGGTTAATGAGACTGCTGATTCAAAGACAAACACACACAAGAACAAGCAAAAAGCATCAAAAAGCCAAGTCAGTATACCAGTATAAGTCCAAACTGAGCGCTCTTCAGAAAGATTTGTGTTTAAAAAAACGTCACTCTACGTATTTCCAGAGGAATCGAGTCTCGAACACCAAGCCAAAAAGAATCCCGAAGAGCAAGTTCAACACCTCGCGGCGGTACCGCTCGTCATCCAAGACATGGCGAGACGTAGCGTACCGGTCGGCGAAGGTCGTTTGGTCGGTCATTCTACGCGAGAAGAACCGTAGAAACGACATGAAAGAACCATGTAACTGCAAGTTTTAGCAAGCTTTTCCCTTTACTAAGACTATAAGAAAGTGTTGGGATGCCACTGCCTCTCAACTTAACAAAAGTTAAAATATGCTGAAATCCAACTCAGCAACCAAGAACTCGTAGGACAAGGTATAAGCATAACCCAGAACCTCAGCTGGAAAGCCAGGCACGTCTTCATCCAACGGTGGACTCTTGTCTTCTGGCTTCATCTGCTCGTCTCTCTTCTCATCGCTTCTCAACAGACGAAGTCGCTCGGGCGAAAACCGGTTTTCGGTCGAGGAGCACGGCCCACATCGGTGAGATCCTCCATATCCCTCGAGTCCACAGCGCCTCACAGCCCGAGGGCAGTGCTATGCAGTGCGATGCAGTGCGTCCGACTTGTTAACCTGTTTGACCCGCCCTGACTTCGTGAAGTAGGCGCCCGCCCTAAGGGAGGTCGCGCTCCGAACGCGCCGCAGCAGGCGCCGTTCGCTCCTAGCTACTTCCGGAGGCGACTACCTACTGGACACAGGATAGCGAAGACGCTTCTTCAAGGAAACTGCCGGGGGAGCTTCCTTGAATTTGGTTGAAACACTTTGGGGGACACTTGAAGACATGGCGCCTGACAAAAAGTGAAGATAGAACATGTGAAACACCCTGAAGTTCGGAGTTCAAGCCCTGTCAAGATCGGTACGTTTTTTCGGCACGTCCACCACATGCCGACACGTCCCCCGACACCGACTGTCGGCCGCGGAACCTGACCATCGCCAGTAGGCTGCCCCAAACATGGAGCTGGCTGCTTCGATGCTCCAACCAAAGAACACCTCGGTGAGAGCGATCGGACGCTACGAACGGGGCGAAACTGGCCGTACTACGAACGGAGCGATCGGACGCTACTAGCAGCAACCATTGGGACGACTGGGACGACTGAGTCTAGGCACACTGTGGACGACCCAATATGTGACCCAATATTGTTCAATCCACGAGAAATCAGGCCGAAAAAGAAGAGGGGCCCGGCGTTTCTTAGCAATATTCTACAATAATGTACAATAATAATCATACACTAATCACATTCCACCCAAATAAACGAGAATCCCCTTGTCCGTTTGCATCGTGTTTTAAATCCCAAGGTGCCTTCGGTGGCTGGTTTAGTTCGAACTAGTCCATCAAGCACAGAACCCTGACTGTTGGGTTGTGGCCAGAAAGAGCTGCCAATACGTCAGGATCAAATGCTCTGCCAGGACGCATGCGCAGCCCACGCGTAGCCTAAAGGCTGGCAAATTCTGGGACCATCATGAAGTGTGTTAGAGCGCGTAAGTAAGTCTGCACAGGCCTAAAGCCTGTGTCCCATGCACAAGCGCGTCTATCAGCCCACCAGATCTGATGAAAGTACTCACTGACGTCATGAATCATGCAAAAAAACAGCTCGGGAGCTGGGGAGCTCGAGCAAATCCAGGGCCTCAATTTTGCTCCACACAGGTTGCCTAATGTTGCCTCCAAGCATGTGTTCATGTCATTTCTTGTCACTGTTCTTGGAGGTGTTAGTCCTGATCTATTCATGGCGCTTTGAGCTTTCGTCCACAGCTATCCATCCCCAAGGACACCATGAACACCAACTATATAGAGCCATTGCCAATTGCCAGGGGCGAGAAAACAGGACGCATTTGGGACACCCAATTGCTTGCTGCCGAATACTGGCCACATCTAAAAGCGGGGTCCTCTTCGTTGCTACGAAAACAAGGTCGGTCCATCAATTCTTCGTTGCAACCTCTTCAAATCAGAGGACTCCAAAAGAAAATCCGGGCTGCCCATGTGTTGAGTAGTTCGCTCCCCAATAGCTAATGTAGTTGTGTACACATCAACACTATATATAGTAATAACAATACTAATAATCATAATAACAACAATAAACAAACAAATATACATAAATATACTTAATTATAATAGTTATATAGTAATGATAATATAGTGCCGGATCTCAAGCGCCGGATCTCGCCAAGGTACACAGGAAGATGGTGGCGAAGACGATGGCAAAGTGTGAGACGTCTTTGACAGAATGCGTCAAGGTGTTGATGACCACGTTGAGACGCTTGTTGGCTTTGAAAGACCTCGGTTGGAAAAAAAGACGTCCGGTTTCGTCTCGTAGCTGTACCAGCGGTCTACAAACTCCGACGTCCGGAAGAAAAAAGGTCTACCAACCATACAGTCAGACAAAATGGGCTGCGTCCAAGCTGCTTGAAGAACTTCAGCATCAAAATGAATAAATACAACACAGCGACCTTCGTGACGTGCGAGATGTTCGCGACGTCACCAAGGAGTTTCTAACGGGGGGGGGCCTGGGTATTCCTGGTATCCCTGGGTCATGGCAGAGCCAGGGAGCCTGTGTTTTTTTTTTTCGAACATGAACAAAATGGACTACTACCAGGACCCTCCAAGGGGCGTCTATAGCCCCTTATAGCTGTGATTCGGGGTGTCCATTAACCACCCAACTCCTGAGGGGTGGTAGATACTGACATGGCCAACTGGGCTCCGGGTGGAACTCACAAGCCGTCTTCCCGTCTTCCCCGTCCGTCTTCCCGCTTTGAAGCAGCGTCGAAGACGACCCGTCGTCGACTCTGGGGATCCACACGAGGCGGACAGACTCATTCCAAATGGAGACAGCCTCTTCAGAGCGATCGACTGGATCTTCATCCGACGGAGACCGACCTGTCGGACCCAAGGACATCCTGTCGGACCGTTCGTCGAAGTCACAGAAACGACTTGAAAAGTGACCGTCATTGACAACACTATAAGGGAGTTCGGTTTTCTTCCGGCCCAGTTAGGCACCGTGAGTGGGCAGTGCCCCCAAATCGGCGAGGTCCCCGATGGTTCATGTCGATCGGACGTCCGGACGACTCGAGACTCACTTGCTCTCCGGTCCTGAAAGGCATCAAAGACCCGGGCAAGGCGGCCATAGTAATCTTCGTGCGTCATCACCGCGTTCAACTGCGCCAGGCCGACAGGCGCACGAGCTCGAGGCACCGATCTCGAGGCACGACGGCTCGATCTCCACCCGACCTCTCTGTCTCTCAGTCGGACCGAAGAAGGGACAAGAGATATCGATCTGACCGATCTCTCTCTTTTCTTTTCTCTCTCTCGCATCGCCTGCTGAGGAGCGAGATAGGTCTTATTGATGATGTTCACCGTCTCAATCTGAGCGGCTTCGACCGGCTTCGACCGGCTTTTCGCACCGTAGGGTCTTCCGGCCCGGTCACGTCGTGGTCTCGCGTGAACTCGCGTGAACTGGCTCTGGTTTCGTTGTTCTTCCGAGAGTGCAGTGGACCGGTGGATGGAATCGTATAGCAGGTGGGAGTATAGTTCATCTTCGTCCAGTCACAGAAGTTCGCTGTTTTGGGGCTCCAGTTTCGCTTCGCCAAGGCTCAATGGCATCGAACACGGGCAAAGGCAATTCCTCGATGGCCGGCTGCAAGCCATCCAGCTGCAGAAGGGCAATCAACCAAAGCAGTGCACCTGAGAACTCGAAATCAAACTGAAAAATAAGTCGAACATGATCCGTTCAATTCCTTTCATATCCTTTCTCCTCTTTCGAACCGAACGAACCATCGAACCCTAAGACACCCATCCCACCCCCATCCCCCCGCCGAGAAGGGCTTCGTCTGTCCCGTTTCAACCGGCGAAGCAGCTGCTGAAACCGTCCACCCAATGTCTCTCGCTCTCTCTAAAGTAACAAGAAGCTGCTATGTAGACTCTTGATTAATAACCCCAGCCATATGAATTGAACATCCTCTTCATATGGGGGTGTATTAATCAAGAGTCTACATTAGGTGGAGGCCATCGCTACGTATTAGGTAGGAGGCCATTACTACTATAGGCTACAAAAAGCTAGTAACTCACTCTCTCTCTCTCTCTCGCTCTCTTTTTCTCTCTCTCTCTCTCTCTCTCTGTTGCGGCATTTTCGCGGTCGCGCCCTAACTGACTGGACGCTGTTGTATATGTTGTATTTCATGGTCATTTTTTGTTCCGGTCTCGAACAAATAGATCCGAGGCATCCAAGAGTCCTCTTGATGTCCTCCCCAAGATTTCTCCATGCCGAGCAGCAAACAATTCCCCAGCTGATAGTCAACCAATCAACCTGCTCTGATCGACCCACACTTTTCGCCGTTGGCCCCGCTCAAAGAGACGCCCAGTTTCGTGCTCCGTTACTAACCCCATGGAACCCCCCTTTGAAAGGGACGTTTTGGTCAGAGAAACTCCTGAGACGACTCCCGGACGATCAGACGGTCTCAGAAGAGCGATGGCCTCCACCCTATTAGAATTAAATTAACTAATAGCTTCTTGTTACTACTAGTAAGGCACTTGTTACTAGAAGCGATGCACTTGTTTCTAATAGCTTCTTGCCGCCCAGAAAACGATGTTCCACAATTGCAAGTAGTTCATGATGCCGTCCAAACCGGTCCTCGGAGCGAAAGCTTTTGAGACCGCCGAGAACCGGGGGGCGCAAGCTCTCTTTTCGGTGCCTTTGCTTGTCCTCTCATCTCTGTCATCTTGTCTTTCCTGCTCGTCTCTCTTTGGTCACTTCTCATGTCTGCTTCTTTTTTAGAAGCTGAACAGAGAAAAGAGAAGAGAAGAGAGAAGAGAAGAGAGAAGAGAGAAGAGAAGAGAGAAGAGAAGAGAGAAGAGAAGAGA